CTTGGTTAAGTATATTCTTTAATTTTCTCTTCGTGATGCAATTTTACAGAATTTTTTTAAGAAACTTCCTCTTTCTGCTATTTCATTGTTAGTATAAAGAAATATAACAGATTTCTGTATATTAACCTTGTATCCTGCTACTTTTCTGAATTCATTTATTATTTGTAATAGTGTTATGTGCTGGAGTTTTTAGGGTTCTCTAGATAGAGTATTTATCATATCATGCAGAATAATTTTGTCTGGCCATTTAGGAAAAAGTTTGGAAGCTTCTTAACAAGTTAAGCATATACCTAATATATGACTCAGCCATTCCTTCCTTAGTATTTACCAAACAGAAACACCACGTATGTCCATGCAAATTTGTCTGCAAATGCTCATAGTAGCTTTATTTGTAGTAGGCAAAAAATGGTAACAACTCAAATGTACATTAGCAGGTAAATATATTAAAAAATTTTAATTATATAAGTATAATGGAGTGCTACTTAGCAACAAAAAGAAATAAACTATTGATACATGCAACACAAATGGATATCAAAATAACAATACTGAGTGAAAGAAGCAGGGGAAAAAAAGTACTTACCATGTAACTTCTAAATAAAATTCTAAAACTTCAAACTAATCTCAAGTGACAGAAATAGATTACTGGTTGCCTTGGAAAGGAGAGGGGGCAGAGAGAGGCAGGAGGGAAGGATTACAAAGAAGCAAGAGGAGACTTTTTGAGATGACAGATGTATTCATTATCTCGATTGTGGTGGTTTCATTGGTACATACATGTAAAAATTATCAAATTGTACACTTTAAATATGTATGATTTATTGTATGTACATTATACCTCAATAAATGTTTAGAAAATTAAAAATTTACACATGGGCAAACACATGAAAATGTGCTTACTATCATTAGTTAATAAGGAAATATGAATTAAAGCACACCAAATCTAGCTGTTGGGGAAAGCATACAGCTTGCTTAATATGCTTTCATGTTAGCATCAAAAATTCACCTGACTTAGAAATAACATGAACTTGTAACTGTTACAGGAAAAGCTCATATTCTGTTTTATTACAGTGTTTTGGTGCCATCCTGATCAGTACCAGCAGCCATTTGGAAGAGTCTAAAACATCTCTTCAGCAACTCAGGTTTTTTCTCAGATGTTGGTCTTCATTATAGGAAAAAGAGTTCCTTGGTGAGTGATGTATTCCATGTTTGAGAAAGAATAACTCAAGCTGAGTTTTGGGTTTCTTAACTATTATCACAAAGAAAGAATGTTTTCAGCAGTTCCTAGCAGGAGGTGGTGTTAAAAAGGATAAAAAGGTAGATCTGACAAGAGGGCTACTAGGCACAAGTAGAAATAGTCAAAGTATCAACTGGAAATAATACACCCACCACAAATACTAAGATGAAAAAGACTAACAAGCAGAAAGGCTGGAGAAAATGTGGAGCAACTGGAAGTCCCCATGGTTGCAGGCATGTAAAATGGTACAATCCTTTGGAAAAAAGGTCTGGCAGTTTTTTATGAAACTAAACATATACCTAATCAAGGACCGAATGATTTCCTAGTTAGATGTTTACTCAAGATGAATAAAGACATGTGTTTACACACACACACACACAATTTGTTCAAGAATGTTCACAGTAGCTTTATTCATAATATATATATTAAAAAAAAGTGGAAACAGCCCAGGTATCCATCAACAGGAAAGTGGAAAAAAGACAATACTCATCAATGAAAAGAAATGAACCACTGATACAGGCAACACGAATTAATTTCAAAAACATGCTAAGTGAAAGAAGCATTATACTTTGTATGATTTCATTTATATGAAGTTTTAGAACAGGCAAATTTAATCTGTGAAGCAAAATAATGAGAACAGTAGTTGTATCTGAGAGGTAGGTGGGGACTGCCTCGGTAGGGGCATGAGACTCTCTGGTATGACTGTACTGTTCTAAAATTTAAATAGTGCTTGGGTTACATAAGGTATATGGATTTGTGAAAAAAATCAGCAAATTTATATACTTAACATTTGTGCGTTACATTGCATGTAAATGTACACTGAAAAATTTAAAAACTAAACTATAATAAACTACTTAATGATATGCATTTTGAAGTATTGGGGGATATATACTGATGCCTGCAATTTATTTTATTTATTTATTTTTATTATTTATTTTTCATTTATTTTTATTAGTTGGAGGCTAATTACTTATGATAACCCTATAATTTATTTATTTATTTATTTTTATTAGTTGGAGGCTAATTACTTATGATAACCCTATATGCAAAACAGAAAAAGAGACACAGATGTACAGAACAGACTTTTGGACGTGGGAGAAGGCGAGGGTGGGATGTTTCGAGAGAACAGCATCGAAACATGTATATTATCTATGGTGAAACAGATCACCAGCCCAGGTTGGGTGCATGAGACAAGTGCTCGGGCCTGGTGCACTGGGAAGACCCAGAGGGATCACGCAGAGAGGGAGGGGGGAGGGGGGATCGGGATAGGGAATACATGTAAATCCATGGCTGATTCATGTCAATGTATGACAAAAACCACTACAATATTGCAATTTATTTTAAATGCACCATAAAAATAACATGGATGGATAAGTAATAAACCATGTAGAATAAATGAATAATCCATGTGGTTGGTTATTTGGGTATTTACTATAAAATTTTGTCAATTTTGCTGTATGTTTGAACATTTTTATAACAAAACAATGGGGGAAAATCCCCAGGTCTATCTTCCTATTATATACCCTTGGACTGGAATAAATTATTCTTTCCATAGGATAGAAACTCTGTAGAAACTTAAGGACCAGAAATTAGCCCCTGCAAACTTTCTGGGACTCTAAAAGGTAAGTTATACATGTAAACATTTTAAGAAAGGTAAGAAAACATAGTAATTATTGAAAAGGAAACGAAGTTACATTAAGAGTAATTACTAATACTGGTGTTTATTATCACCACAAAATGAGAGAATTACTTTTTGTACTTTTAAAAAAACTGACTTTTTTTCAACCAATGCAGGAAGAGCTATCTTTTATGTTAAGTTATATATATGAATTTCCTAAAGGAAATCGATCCTGAATATTCATTGAAGGGACTGATGCCGATGCTTGAAGCTCCAGTATTTTGGCCACCTGATGAGAAGAGCTGACTCATCAGAAAAGACCCTGATGCTGGGAAAGATTGAAGGCAGAAGAGAAGGGGATGACAGAGGACAAGATAGTTGGATGGCATCACTGACTCAATGGACATAAATTTGAGCAAGCTCCAGGAGATGGTGATAGACAGGGAAACCTGGCGTGTTGCAATCCATGGGGTCGCAAAGAATCAGACATGACTGAGCATCTGAACAACAATATATGAATAGGTTGATGTGTCCAACTTTGTCCAGAATTTGGATATCTAATCATCATTTTAAAAAAGACTTTAGAGTGTTTTCCTATATACCTAATATTACCCTTGTTAACATGCTATATATGGGATAAAGTAACATCCTTTGCCTTTGGAGAGCTTTAGACGAAATTTGGCGTAAGGGTGCATCAAACAAATCTGAATGCATTTCCCATCTCTGCAGGACCTTGGGCAAATTAACTTCTGTGAGCCTCAGTTTCCTCATTTGTAACATGAGGAAGGATAATATAGGTCATATCTCATATGGTTATTCTGAATCTTAAGTGAGACAATTCATTTTACATGTATCACAGTGACTGACAGAACGTGAAAATGAAAGTCGCTCAGTTGTGTCCGACTCTTTGAGACCCCATGGACTATATAGTCCGTGGAATTCTCCAGGCCAGAATACTGGCCTTTCCCTTCTCCAGGGGATCTTCCCAACCCAGGGATAAATCCAGGTCTCCCGTATTGCAGTAGATTCTTTACCCACAAGGGAAGCCCGACTGACAGAAAACACAGTAAATATGTTACAATTAAGAATAACGTATGTACAAGAAACAAAACATTCAGTTGATGGAAAATGTAGAATACCTTAATTTCTTTAAATAGAGTGGTATCATCTTCAGATAGTTCTCAGATGCGTTTGTTAATAGATGAATTTCTATCACTTCCTCAAAAGAAGGCACTGACTTAAGCGAAGGAGAAACTCAACAAACCTCTTTTTAAAAAAAGCTGACAGGACTGAAGTTTTAAGACATCCTTTTCTGAAAATACTTTTGAAAATGGAGAGCAGGCTTTCTGCTTTTACATAGCACTGCACCTGCTTTAAAACCCACACACACTGGTTTTTCTTTTCTTTGATTTTTTTTAAATCTATTTCCTCTTACCAGGCTTGTTTTTCAAGATATAAATTCATTGGACAGGACTGTTTAGATACAGTTCATGTTTTAGTTGGAAGTTTGGGGCAATATTCTAGCACATTATAACTATCCAACTTCTTTGTAATCACAACTATATCTCCAAAATACTCTGAAAGCTTCAAATATTAAATAGTAGTACTAAGTATGCTATTGAGAATGGATTTTTCAACTAGTAGATATAAAATGATCAGAATTTAATAGATGAAGATAGTTTTATTATCTTGCTCATGAGGTAATCACTTCTACTTTCCCAAATGGTTATTATACATAGAAGCAGATTCGCCAAGATTTATTTTTAGCCAACATATAAATACTTACCCCTATTCCAAAATGTTGGCAATCTTTCTTTTCTATTGCACAAATGACAGTTTTAAGTTTGCTCCCTTTATTTCTTTTAAGTTTATGGACTCTTTTTACTAATATCTTGACTTTTTGAATAGCTAACACCTTTCTCTCATCAGCCCTGTTGAGCACAATAAGCTTAAAATTTATCTGCAAACTTCAAGGGCAGGGCAGAATTCACATTATTCTTAACATACCAAGCCAAAACTGAAGGAAGAACTGGATAATTTTAATATAAATCATCCAAGCTAAAATCCCATATTTTAACTTTACATTTGAATCAGCAATGATTTTTACTGCTGTTTTCTCCCCTTCTATTTTTATCACTTTTTTTTTTTTGAGTCTGAATCAGAGAATATGCTAAACATGTGGATTGCAGGCAACTGGATTTCTCAAGTAGGAAGCACAAAGAAACATTTTCTCCCCTTACTTGGGTTGCTTTTATTTAATATTCTTAAGAATGATTATCTGAGTTCAAGAATCATATTTCCATTGGTTCTAACAAAGAAGAAAAAAAAATACTCATTTCACAATTAAGATAGAACCAAAAGCTTTCTCTAGCTGTCAGTCAGTTTCCAAGCTAATAAGAACTCCTGGGACTTTATCTATTCTTCCCATAGGGAGCAGAGCTGGTATAACCGAGGATACCTTTATCTTACTGCTTAGGTATAAAAGTATTGCCTAAGCAGAACTGGCAGATTCAACAAATAAATAGAATGATGAAACGAGTACAATATTCTTAGATGTATTAACAGCTAAACAGGCTATGTATGAGAAAAAAAAATCACTTAAAGCTTGCTTGAAATCTTTTAGATTAGTTTAACAGAAACACAAAAAACCAATGGGAACATCAAAGAGAAAAAAACCATGGAAAAGTCAACTTCTGCTACTATATATAATATAAAACACATATACATATATATATATATTTTAAAAACCATGATGACACAGTTTTGTTTCCAAGCATGCTTTCATATTATAGATCTCATCTTCCATCCTTCAAGTCTGGTTGACAGGATACAGGATCTCCTTCTATATGTTTTATATCCTTCTGTCTCTTCCTCCTAGTTTCACCAGTCAAAATTCCATGCCATCCTTTAACAACCATGCTAAACACCCCCTAATCAACGACCTCCAAATAATTAGAATTAACTTTCCTTCTCTGACTTTCAGTATTTTATATTTGCACCACCCACCTAAAAAACTGCAAAATGCCAGGCTTCTTGCGATGTTATTGTAAAAACCTTTAAATAAAGTGAAGTCCTCACCAACTTGTATGGCCAGAGTTTAAAAAAGAAGCCACAATCATCTGAAGTCAACACAAGACCTTTTCTGGAAAACACTGGAGAATATACTATGCAGATAATAAAAAAGAGGACTGGACATGGCTCCTGGGGTGGTTGGCTAGAAGTTTAATAAGTTACATCTCAAAATTTAAAATTATTGTGATCTGTTTTACTCCTTTTGTCTGTGGTTTCTTCTTCTTCCCCAGGGTCACATACCATTTGGTAAACATAGCAGCTGAACACCCTGCTGGGTTTCTGCTCTATGTGTAGCACCAAGTCTCTGTCAAAGTAGACTTCGTGGCTGTATGTCTGTAATGAAAACACAGGCAAATGGGATTTCCTCTTCACATAACCATGTTCAATACCGTTTCATTAAGACATCACAGCACCTTTAGGGATGCTCAAATATATACTTGAAGGCAAGATAGTTGCCAGAAATAGTTTATTTTTCATTATTTGTGGATATGCAGACGACTTAGAGAAAAGCATTACACAAAATATTAAGAATGAAGAGTCCTGGACTTAGGTGTCTGAACACCCAGATTCTATTGCCAACATTGCTACTATTTCACTTGTGACTACTGGCAAGTTGCTAAATCTTTCACATTCTCCACTGATAAAACAATGATTGGATAAAGTAACATCTACTGTTCCTTACAACTTTTATATTCCATATTACTCAAAAGAGCAGACAAATGCTTCCAAGAGTGCTTGAAAACACCACATGATTAGAAGTCTCTATTAAGTAACTGTGGGGATTCAATACAGAAAACAGAATTTTTATTTTTCAAAACATTACCAAACTTGTAAAATGGGAGAAAATCGGACTGTGGTCAGATAGCATGTCTCAGGAGAAAACATGAAGCTTTATCTTTAAGACCACTGGTAAGCAGGCATCCTCTACTTCCTAGGGGAGAAAGGCTAAAGAACTCACTTTGTCATGTGTGTGGGAAAGTCTCTTTCACACGGTCATTGGTACAGGTGAACCTGGACTGACATGAACACAGTGACATCTGTTCCAATAAAAGTCACCTAGAAAGAAAACTCTTACAACTTTGTATTCTGTGGACTCTACTCACCACATCCCATGACTCCACGAGTGGAATACTTTTAAGTAAAGTTCCATATTCATTACAGTGGAAATCCAGGTGAGCTTTTCCTTCAGCATCTATTTGAGTAACAGCTACGACAGAAAGCAAATCCAACTCATCTTCATAGTCGACAATTTTGAAAGTCTTAGGGAACAGAAGACAAAGTAAAATAAAAGAGGGGCAAAATCCAGTTTTGATTATTTCTACACTTGGGGTTTAACTATTCTAACATTATAAAACTATGTAGAAAGAAAAATGAATGGGTGGGAGCATAGGTAGAAATGTATCTCCAAAGGCTGAGCTGATTTACCACACCCTCACACCTTCTTCCTCTGGGCCATGAACATTAACAAACACATCTAAGTCTAGTAAGTGAAACATAAGGCAAAAGTCACAATCATCAGAATATAACTCAATAATTCTCCGAGAAGAGATTTCCCTAGGAAGTGTGCACATCAACACAACAAAAAAATAAGCTAATAATTGTTTTTTCAAGTTATTTTGGTCTCATGAATACTTCTACAAGCAAAATCTCATGAATAATTTCAGTATGAAACGAGAAGATGATGGGGATGCCCTGGTTTAGACAGCTTGCACAATTCTACTGACTAAGGTTGCACGGAGCTTCCCGACCTCTATCCCAGGGCAAGTTCATGCTAGTTTGGTTTATTATTTCTGGCTAAAGTCATACCTCTTGTTCTGGGTCATCATCCAGAATGCTAAAATTTCTTTTTACCACTCGTCCAGAAGCTGTAACAGTGGGTAGGTTTTCATTCTATCACATGGAGAGAAATAAAAAGCCATGACAAGTACCGTTATATGTAGTTGATGGCAAGACTAAACAAATTTGTTAAAACTAACCAATCCTTCGCCAACATCCATAAGTCTTTCCTCAGTTGAGAAAATTCTGAATCGGGTTCCAGATCCTCCAATTAGTAAAAATACTTTATTATAATAAAATTTCTAAAGAATAAAATACCAAAATAGGCAAAAATAAACACAGGGGTTACAGATTTAGTATGTGACTTGCCCTTCTGATTTCTGCCTTAGTATAGTACAGCACATGTTTGAGTAAACTCCAGGAGTTGGTGATAGACAGGGAGGCCTGGCGGGCTGCGATTCATGGGGTTGCAAAGAGTCAGACACAACTGAGCGACTGAACTGAACTGAACTGAACTGATAGTACAGCAAATAAAAGAGTGGATCTGCTTTTTTCTCTGCGTGATTTTCCTCATGTTCTTAATTTGTATGCTAAAGAAAAAGAATCATTTGGAATTAAAGAGTGATATGTGATTTTTTAACCCAATTTACCCTAGGTTTGTACAATTAATTAAACCTAAAATAAAAGAGTGGATCTGCTTTTTTCTCTGCGTGATTTTCCTCATGTTCTTAATTTGTATGCTAAAGAAAAAGAATCATTTGGAATTAAAGAGTGATATATGATTTTTTAACCCAATTTACCCTAGGTTTGTACAATTAATTAAACCTAGAGGTCAACAACTTATCAAAAAAATTTAAAGAGAAACCCGGAAAGGAAACAGAAATAAGCAAAAGATAAAGTCAATATAATTGGCTCTTTTCAAATCTCATAGGTACATGGGGCTAAGACTGGCTACCCATATAGACAAAATGAACAGACTTTTACAGGATTGTGTTGTTCTTTTCAGCCACACCGAAAGGCAAACACATTTGCACATTATATTCTCCAATAGACCGTGATATAAAAAGGATTTTAAAGTACTGCTGACTTACTTTGTTCTTCTCTCTGTTGGCCAAAATGACAAAATCTTCAGAGATCTGATGCTGGGCACTATTATTTTCTACTTCACTTAGCTTTAAAACTCTGAAAAGGTAAAAAGGATTCTAAGAACCTAAGACATCAACACAGCATCAAAGTGTCAAAGCTGAACTACTGAAAAGAAACTGAACAAATGAAACTTATACTAACAACACTGAGTCAGTTCTCTTCTCCTCATTACTCCAAAATATTAATATCTGATAACTTAAGTGTCCACAACTTTCTTCAAATTTAGATTTTTTAAACAAACAAAAATAAAAAACACTGGACTTGTGGCAACAGGTGCTACTGAAGCAGCTTGCTGAGGCTTACACTAGCTTCCACACTGAAAGTCGTTCTAAAGAACTTCCTCTCTGCATTCTGCAGTAGGTTTTTAATGTTTCAGCTTTAACAGTGGCATTATAGTAGATACTTACATTTTTATTTCTGAAGATAGAATTAGTTATCAAGGAACAACACTAAACGTTAAATATATACAGACTGCATTAGCAACTTAGCCTAAGTTTTCATGACAGAGTAATATTTTAAAACTGCAAATGACTTAATACTTTTTTTGTCTTAGCATTATATTTAAATATTTGGGTTTTCTGAGTGTAAATGGCCTCACAGATCAAGCTTGTTAAGCAAGTGAAAATAAAATAATTTTCGCACCACCCACACAAATCTTTTCACAGCATTAACAAGCATCAAAAGCACAATATCCTCAAATCTTAGAGTCTCAAGTGTAAGTGAAGACAGAGCAGAGAGGAGCAGCCCCTGTGGCCAAGGAGAGCTGAAGGCCTTTGAGTTTGGCCGGAGACAAAGAAATCAGATGATATTTAAACTTCTTAATTAGTTATCTTAATTAGTGCCAATATTTAAGAGTGCCTATCTTTTAAAACCTGGCAAAAGGACAACACTCTTTGTGAAACTTATTTTCTTAAGCTCAAACTAATATAAAAGATGGGTGGTAACAAACAGGAAGAGTAAGATTTACTAAAGCTGAACTATACTTTTTATGACATTCTGTAAAAGTTAGTAATCTTTTTTTCATTAAGTTCCTTCATCCTCCTATAAATTGATCCAGAGTAGACTAATTATCATGAGGCATATGAAATAAAGAATGCAGACATGGCCCTTGTTATTCAATAGACACTCATCGAGCGCCTACTCTGCACTCAGACCTGTGCTCCATGCCAAGGTTACAGGTGTCAGCAAGACAGACTCTTTCCCTGTATTATGGAGTTCATGATTCCAAAGCAAGATGTTTAAACAGATAGTCAAACAAATAATTAGTTTTAATTTCTGTAAGTACTACAGAAGAAGATTACATAGTGGACACGGTGAAAATATGATGGGGGAGCTAATCTAATGAAGGGTACCAGGGAAGGACCCTCTGAAAAAGGGACATTTAAAGGGCCATAAAAGATGAACAGAAATTCATCAGATAAGGGAAACAGACTCCAAGCAGAGTGAACAGGTCCTCAGCTTTCCGACAAGACAGCATGACTAAAGTAAACTGAGTGGGAGGAATCTTTTAGATTGGCTCCGATGTTGGTCTTTTATCTTAAGTGCAACAGGAAGCCATAAAAAGGTTAAAGCAGAATTCACATGGTTCTGTGTTTGTTAATGTTTCTAAATATCCTAGCTGCTAAGAAGAAAACAGACTTAAAGAGTAAAAAGTAGATTCTTGGGAGTCTGGTAAGAAGGCTATTACCATAGTCCAGGCTAGCGATGACAGTGGTCTAGCGCCAAGATGGTGTCAGTGGCCAAGGGCAGAAAGAGGCAGACTTAAGAAATGTTAGCAAAATAAATGTTAGTAGCAAAATAAACGGGATTGATGGGATATATGGGGTGTGTGTGTGTGTGTGTGTGCGTGCGTGTGTGTGTGAGAGAGAGAGCATACAAAGTTAGTAATCTTTTTTTCATTAAGTTCCTTCATCCTCCTATAAATTGATCCAGAGTAGACTAATTATCATGAGGCATATGAAATAAAGAATGCAGACATGGCCCTTGTTATTCAATAGACACTCATCGAGCGCCTACTCTGCACTCAGACCTGTGCTCCATGCCAAGGTTACAGGTGTCAGCAAGACAGACTCTTTCCCTGTATTATGGAGTTCATGATTCCAAAGCAAGATGTTTAAACAGATAGTCAAACAAATAATTAGTTTTAATTTCTGTAAGTACTACAGAAGAAGATTACATAGTGGACACGGTGAAAATATGATGGGGGAGCTAATCTAATGAAGGGTACCAGGGAAGGACCCTCTGAAAAAGGGACATTTAAAGGGCCATAAAAGATGAACAGAAATTCATCAGATAAGGGAAACAGACTCCAAGCAGAGTGAACAGGTCCTCAGCTTTCCGACAAGACAGCATGACTAAAGTAAACTGAGTGGGAGGAATCTTTTAGATTGGCTCCGATGTTGGTCTTTTATCTTAAGTGCAACAGGAAGCCATAAAAAGGTTAAAGCAGAATTCACATGGTTCTGTGTTTGTTAATGTTTCTAAATATCCTAGCTGCTAAGAAGAAAACAGACTTAAAGAGTAAAAAGTAGATTCTTGGGAGTCTGGTAAGAAGGCTATTACCATAGTCCAGGCTAGCGATGACAGTGGTCTAGCGCCAAGATGGTGTCAGTGGCCAAGGGCAGAAAGAGGCAGACTTAAGAAATGTTAGCAAAATAAATGTTAGTAGCAAAATAAACGGGATTGATGGGATATATGGGGTGTGTGTATGTGTGTGTGTGTGTGTGTGTGTGTGTGTGTGTGAGAGAGAGAGAGAGAGAGAGAGCATAAAGACAAATGCAACTGAGTGTTTAAGTACATGTAAACTGATGAAAAACAAGAAGGTAAGAAAGTGTTAAGAATGAGTCTGGACTTACGACATGAGCTTAGATGAGAGGTTTAGGCAAACATAAAATTTTTTTCCAAGTTTTGGTGTATGCATGATCTTTGAAGCCAAGGGAATAAACAGAAGAATCAAGCAGAAAGGGAACAAATAAGAGGGGAAAGAGGGTCTAATCCTGATGACATCTAATAATTAAAGTCTGGGTGAGAAGAGGAAGAACATGAAAGGATATTAAGAAAGATCAGAGAGGGAGGAAAATATTCAGGAGTACTGTGGAGTCAGGGAAGCTAAATGAAGAGTGTTTTGATTGTATGAAAGATGTGGGTAAACTAAATAAAATAAGGTTTACTTCAAACAACCTGCTACTTCTTCAGCAGTAAGACTGTCTTTTAGAACAAAGATAAATCATCTCTCATTAATCTTGGAGAAATGAATTAAGACCTGATGTGAAGGAACCAATCCATGATCTCCTTTCCTTCTTATGTCATCCCTTATTCACCAAAGAACTTACCCAAATGTAGTAGTTACAGAGTAACGACAAGGTTGAAAGTATAAAGTAACACTTTCTAGATGCCATTCTCTGAATGCCATTCTCTGAAGCACCCTACAAGCAGCTAATTTCCACAGTTGGCTCAGTAGTTAGCTGGCAAAAATAAAGTTGCCAATAAATACTACCAAAAGCTACTTTTAACTTTAAAGTAACTAAGGAAAATACTCACTTGACCTGATTTGGGCCAACATGTATTATTCTGCCAGAAGCATCAGGATGGAAGTAGATCCAATCAGATTCTAAAGAACAACATTCCATTTCTTGGATCCCATTTTTTGCCTGAAGTTGGGACAAAATATTGAAAATAAAAATTAAAGGAAAATAAAATAATTTTCAAAACCAATATCAGTGATAGGTCAGTAAGTCAAAGGTAAGGGAAGAGAAAATATTAACCAGCTGAACTAGGATGTATATTAGGGATAAATTAGGATACTCAAGCTAGAGAAATCCACAACATTTAAATACAGAAATTTTACAGATGTACCAAGCACCATGTATTATGCCTCACAAATAATAAGTTACCATATCTCAAGCATCTAATTTGAGTCTGGCACTGCATTACATGTTTTCTACTCATTATTTCTTTTGAGCTCAGCAATTCTTGAAGCATATATTGCTATTCTCATCATATGCATGAGGAAACTGATGCACAAAGAGGAAAAATCATTTGCATAATGTTCTGCACCTACTATTAATAAACAGCAGATTAGCCTTCAAGGTACATGGATTTTCCCCTTATTTAACTGTCATAATTATGTGTTTGCAGTCTCCCACAAGTACATGGGCTTCCCTGGTGGCTCAGAGGTTAAAGCGTCTGCCTGCAATGAGGGAAGACCCTCATTTGACCCCGAGGTCGGGAAGATACCCTGCAGAAGGAAATGGCAACCCACTCCAGTATTCTTGCCTGGAAAATTCCATGGACGGAGTAGCCTGGTGGGCTACAGTCCATGGGGTCGCAAAGGGTCGGACACAACTGAGCAACTTCGCTTTCACTTTCAGTCTCCTGTAATTTCTTTCTCCCTTTCCTATCCTCAACAAATTGTCAATAAGAACAGTAGACAGCACAAAAATAAACATGCAATGAAACAGGTCAGACAGTCTTCCTGCGTAAGTCAGATATTAAACTAACGCTAAGGAAATGGTCAAATACTACCTAGCACTTAAGGTAAGTAGAGAGATTTATTTCATAGTAGCATATTTAAACATTAAAATAAAGAAAAAGATACTGCCATATGGATCACATATGTAAGAGATGTTTTACGTTACATACAGGAGCACTGGGGACTAATAGCAGCATGGATATATTAACTTCACTGGCTTTATCCAAGTCATTTAATTTCTCCAATGTAAAATGAAATGATACCTTCTTTTTTATTAGATACTCAAAGTTTTTGACATATAAAAGTATTAATTCCACAGCATATACTGATAGGACGCTATGTTCAAGGTATGACACTAGGTGTTCATACCTGACATGCACTAAACATAATCTCTGTTATCTAGAAGCTCATATTCAAGAAGGGAGACAGAAACAGAATAAGGCAGTGGAGAAAATAAAGTAGTCAAGCCACACACAGGATATTATCAAGCAGCTAAACCAGGTAAGCAGAATTTCAGGAGCTTGAACTCTGCCTTAAAATGAGAAAGTGGCTTGAAAGAAGAGATAACACAATCAAAAGCACAGATGTGTTCGTCCACAGAGCATGCATATTCAAAAACATGAGTAGCAGACAAAATTGAATTGAGAAGCAGGGTGTCCAGTCATGAGACTGGAGAGGCAGGCTAGGGCTACATCACAAGTGCTTTGTATGCCATGCTTTTTTAAAAATTGGAATTTAGCACATTTGATGTATCAAATTAGCACAGGTATTTTAATTTTTCAAGAACCTAATGATTTCTAAGAGAAATGGTTGTATTATTGCATTTTACATATAAGAACGTCAATGAAATTAAACAACTTGGTTGCAACCACCGACTTCCCGAATGGTCCAGTGGTTAAGACTCTGTGCTTCCACTGCAGGGGGTGTGAGTCTGATCTCTGGTTGTGGAACTAAGATCTTGCCTGTGTTACTCAGCGTAGCCAAAAAAAAAGGTAATGTGTCCATTTTGGCATTAGCTCCAAATGCTCCTTAGTGTAACATAAAATTTTTAATTTTTTAAAAATAAAACACATACATAAACATGCACACATAACCCATATCTTTCTTTAGGAGACTATTCTCTATTATAATATCTAAACACAACATGCAAAAGAAACATTATCTCTCTCTGTGTTAAATACCAGGCAGCATTGTTATCAGCTTCTGGAGTTACTATTTGCTCGAATGCTAGTTTAAGGCTCAGTTTAATAGAAAGTTACAGGTCATTTTCTGAATTCTTCAGTTCCCCTGCACATATGTTTTTGGATTACCAAGTTTTCTGACTGACAGGTGCAGAAGTAACGCACATATGCATCATTAAGGTAATGTCACTGCAATGAAGCTGTACAGCAAAGTACTGAAAACTCCCCTGGATTCAGCAATTATTTATGAATATACTAAAATACAGATCTGACTAAATGTTGCAATTAGTAATTATACAAAGAGAGTACTAGATAGGCATGCTTGATGTAGATGAAACAATATAAAACAAGAATATATAAACAAAAATATAAAACCCCCTCCTCTGTGCACTCCCTCTTCGGCACTCATCTCAACCACTGTACTGAATGGCCTGCATTTTACTTAATCCACACATCTGCTTTCTTTTGAGGGTATAAACAACTTGTGAGAAGGGATTGTCTCCAGCCAAGTCAGGCACATATTAGGTCCTCAATAATGTTTACTAAATGATAAATCAATGCCTAAATCATTTCTAAAAAGAAAATACAGAAAATTAATTCAAAGGGAAAAATTTCTGTTGTCTTGCTATATACCCTTTCTTCCTATTCTGCCATATACAACTTTAAAATATCCTTGAAAACTTGGTGTTTCAATGCTTATACTGTGACCAACAGAATACTAGCTAATTCTGCTCTGAAAAACCAAGAGCAACAAACTGTGAAGAAGCAGAACCAACAACACATTCATTCCACCAGTAATTTCAGGGGCAGCCTGAACATATTCCACCAATGATTCCCACTATGGAGCTTCAGAGATGCTTTACATGAGGTCAAGGAGATGGTAAGAAGAAAAACTAATAAATCTTTGGTGCCCTGAGAATTTTCAAATGTTAATAATGTTTTAAATTCTGGGTAGTACACACAGTGTACTGTGTTCGCTATATTCTTTGTGTTCTCCTGTACTTTACACTGTTCACAAATTACTGATACAACTTGAAAAGTAATTCCTGGGAATGTGGACCCATTAGAGAAGCAGAGAATAAAGAATTTCTGATATTAATTTACTACTAAAGCCTGACCACCATGATTTACCAATGAATTGTCCTTTAGGGCACAAATGTGGAAAACTCCTTTCTGTTTCTTCTTATTGGGTGTAATGATGTAGTGCCAAGGATGGCCTCCAATCTGAAAAGCATTCTCCAGCGAGGACACCTCAAAGAGCAGTGGCGGTGTATCTGCAAAGATGGGCAAAAGGAATTTATTAGCTTCTTTGTTCTGGTAGCTTTGGAACATTCATTAACTGAATTCAACCTTTCTTTGCATGTATCATCTATTAATTTCTACCAATGAAAAATGACTATGTTCAAGGAAATAAAATACAGTCTGGAAAGAGGCTTACTGATAAGAAAAGGCAAGTAGGAAACAGCTGTTAGGTTATGAGTCAACTTTTTAGACATCCATTTTCAGGATATGTGTGACATGCAGCTGGAGGGTGATAAAAGTGGGCTGAAGGTGCCTATGATGAAAAAAAAAAAAAGACAAGGTACGCCTAATAAAAGCAGTTGCCATTTAATAAGTACCTCGGTTAGATACTATTTCCAACTCTCATAACAATCCAACCAGGTATTAGGTCTAATAATTCCTTCAAATGTGAGGAAGAGATCTTTCATATTCTAGACTAACAGGTTATATTTAGCAAACTTTACAAGAGAAGTATTGCTTAAGTTTATGCAGTAGAAGTGATACTAGTCATAATGAAAGTAGCCACTTAGGATGGGTCTTGTCGCAGTGGAAGTTTTATCAAAGGAGAGCCACTACTACTAGTGGTTATTAGACAAGTTAATTTTAAGGTAATTCAGGTGTATCTTGTCAGCCACTGTCTTTTGGAGGCTGACACCGCAAAAGGACCATCTGTTAGTGCTTCCTAGTCCTCTTCTTTGATGATACTTGATTTTATACAGAGTGTAACAGACTTACATCTGGAGACAGGCATAAACAGAAGGTGCTGCTGCTTCTGAAGACCAGAATTCCTTGGGGACAGCCCTTATGAGGATACCGCTTGGCTTGTTTGGGAAGGTGGCTAATCTGAGTCCTTTGTTTCCCTCTAACTTCAGAGTCTAATCTTTGGTTTGTGAGGCCACCACCGTCTGTAAAAGGACTTGTCTTAGGGAGAGCATTCACTACAGAGTCACATGTTACATATAGAAGTGTGTGCCTGATTAGGCATCTGCATAAGGGCGACTTACTACTTAAAGCTATACAAAGGAGAAAAACAATGAAACGTGAGTTCACAAACTGAAGTCTTCAGGAGAAAGAACAGATAGATACAAACAAATCACATACATTTAAAATGCCCTTGAAGAAACCTTTCAAGAAAAGGGTGATATTCTTAATATATAAAGAGGTGTTTTTTAAGCAATAAGAAAACTATTGACACCCCAATAGATAAATGGGCAAAGGACATCAGTCAGTAAATTATGAAAGATATACAAACATCATATGTGATAAGGTGGTAGCTACCAAATAATGGTGGATGAGGAAAAGAAGAATTATGAAGAGAAAAAAGTATAATTAGAGTTTAAATTGCGGGTTAAAAATTTAAGTAGGGAAGTTGTAGAGAATATAAAATAGGAACTCATAATGGGAGAAAAATTAATGCAAAAAAATGTATTTAAGAAGAAATACTTTTCCCAGAAGTTGCTAAAAATGGCCCCAAAGTAGCATCAGGACTTGGCTCACTACAACTCTGGTGTGTCACGTTTAGCCCCAAGATCCCAAATTTTGATCTCTAATTCTATTCTCAATTGAAAGGGCTAGGAGTTTGCAAAGAATGGCCGATTCCACACCTTGTGATGAGGAAATCTCAGTATTATTAATAATTATAGGAATATTCTTGTACTTTTTTATAAGCACAGAAAATTTTAAAAATCTAAATGTCCATAGTAAACTGGTTACATAAATTTACAGTTTATGCATATGAAAGTGAAAGTCACTCAGCTGTGCCCGACTCTTTGTGATCCCATGGACTATACAGTCTACAGAATTCTCCAGGCCAGAATGCTGGAGTGGGTAGCTTTTCCCTTCTCCAGGGGATCTTCCCAACCTAGGGATAGAACCCAGGTCTCCCGCATTGCAGGCAGATTCTTTACCAGCTGAACCACAAGGGAACGTTATACATATAATGGTACATAAATCAAGTTCTTAAACCTCGAGGAGCTTAATTAGCATGTGCACACATATACAGAGGACTGCTCTTTGGCAAAGACAATACGAGCACTGCATTCAAAAAGTATCAGAAAAAAATATAATGAAAACTAAGTTTTCCTTCTATTTGATTTCCTCAGAAGTGACTATCATTTATCATTTTTCTGTGTGTCCTTCAAAATATTTGAAGCAATCCTGAAAGCATGTGCTCATATCTGTATTTTTAACACATGCATATGAATACTTAACACAAATAAGGCCTTTTATACACATAGTTTTGCACTCCTTTTTTCACTTACTAATATATATTGGAAACTTCTCTATAAAGGGGCAAAAAGAATTCCTTTTTTAATAATTAAGTTTATGACAGCCAAACAATGAAAGAATACCAATGTCACCTATCAATATATATATTGTTTCCAATCTTTTGTAGTTAGAAAAATGCTATATGTTTGTCATTTTGTACACATATGAATATATCTGGGATAAATTTCTAAAAATGGAATTGCTCAAGGAATACATGTATTTAAAATTTTGAAATATATTGACAAATTGTCCTCCACACAGGACTCCAACAATAAACAACAGTGTCTCTTCTATACTTTCACCAATCCTGTTACCTAACTTTTTGATATTTGAGAATCTAAAAAGAAGTATCTCATGGTAGTGTTAACTTGCACTTCTCTTTTCAGTGACATTGGGCTTTGTCTTCTCCTAATTAAAAGTCACTTATATTCCTCTTCTTCTGCACAAGATCCTTTGCTCATTTTGCTGTTGTTGCTACGTTGTCATTTTTTCTTATTGCCCTGCAGAACTCATATATAATGAGAGAATTTCCCCTTTATAGTGTATGTTGCAAATATGTCCCCTATTTGTTGTTTGAATTTTGGTTGGTTTGTGTGTGTGCTTTTATTTACTTTTATTTTTGCTTTTACCATGAAGCACTTTGTCTTTATGCAGCCAAAGTTAGCAATCTCTTCTTTAATGACTCTGTGCTTGTGTCAGAAAGGTCTTCTCAACTCTGCGATAAAAGGATTCTCTAAGTTTTCTCACAGAACTTTAAAATCTTTGATCCACCTATTGTTTCTTCAGATGTAAAGACACAGGACTCCAACTTTATTGTTTTCACAAGACCATCTATCAAATAATCCCAATGGAAATTAATATTTGTAATATATTGACATTCAAAAGTGGGTTAGGCTACAGATAGCTATATGCAATGAATCTCAAAAATTATATGGTGAGCGAAAGATGCCAGACAAAAATTATATATCATATGCTTCCATTTAGACAAAACTCCAGAAATCTAGAGTGAAAGAAAGTACATTCACTGGTTGCCGAAGGCTGGGGATGGAAGGGAACTGACTGAAAAGGGTACTGGGGAACACTTTGGAGTGATTAAAGTATTCCAAATCTTGATTGTAGAAGTGGTTTCATGGATATAAATATTTGGCAAAACTCAAATTATACAGTTTAAATGGCTGCATTTAAGTGCATGCAAATTACACTTCAACAGAGTTGATTTTTGAAAAAGCAAGTTATGAAACAGTGTTCACAGTATGATTCTTTTTTGGTTTTAGGCATACATACATTATAAGATTACCCAAAAAACACAGAGGTGATAGTAACTAATGCCATTCAGGATGACTGTGAGTGTTTTAAACTTTCTCTATTTTATCATTATTTCCTAATTCTTCTATAATGAAAATGAACTGCTTTGTCTTAAAAAAGTTACTTAAAGTTAAAATGAGTATTATTTGTATAGGTTTTACTGATCCTGAAAAACAAATCTAGAGAAATAAACTGGATTTCAGTCAACACAGTCTGAAAAAATACACAAAGTTTCCAATATAATACGCTAGTCTTCTAAGCTAAATGTCTAACAATCACTGTATTGTTTTACAATGGCACATGATTTCACAGATCATATTTTCAAATGTTATTATTTTAAAGCTGATAAAAGTGAGGCCCATACAGGTTAAGTAATAGCTCACTACCATACCACCAATTAGTAGTGGAATTTCATTCTCATAGGAGCAGACCAAGATTGTGATCCCAAATCCAGTCTTCTCTCTATAAACAGGGACCAAAATCACAGCACAATCAGAAGCTCCATAAGCTTTCTTTCTTTCTTTCTTTCACCCTGTTCTTTGTTTTACTTGCTTATTATCTGCATTTCAAAGAGAACAATGCTACCATTTAGGGAAACTCTCTTCAAAATAATACATATTAGTTATCACTGGAGTCTGTAGTTTTCAAATTCTTAACAGATTCCTGCCTTCTGTATTTGTATCAAATACAGTAGGAAATGGCAATCCACTCTAGTATTCTTGCCTGGGAAATCCCATGGACAAAGGAGCATGGTGGGCTGCAGTCCATGGGGTCACAAGAGTCCAGACATCACTGAGTGACTGAGCATACACACACACATAGGAAGTATTGCTAAGGCTGAGTTTTTACAAAACTACCTAATTCAGCTCACCCAAGACGCCAAAAATTTGAGTAATTTTTAAAATATTTATTTTGAACTTCTTGGAAAATTGGCTATACTGAACTCTCTCAGTCCTCATACTTTGCTATTTACTAATAAAAAGACCATTTCCTTTCTCACAATTAAGTCTTTCATTTGTTTCTTGATCTGTTGATGATGTAATGTTATATAACAATAGAAAAAAATTGTATTTTGATCCATATTAGAAAAACCTTTGGAGTTTTACCTAAATATGTGATGTTTATTGGTTAGAAGTAAATGTCCACAACATGATAAAAAATAATTTTTAATGAACTAAGAACAAAGATAAACAAATATTAGGATAACAAANACAATAGAAAAAAATTGTATTTTGATCCATATTAGAAAAACCTTTGGAGTTTTACCTAAATATGTGATGTTTATTGGTTAGAAGTAAATGTCCACAACATGATAAAAAATAATTTTTAATGAACTAAGAACAAAGATAAACAAATATTAGGATAACAAAATATATTTTCTTTTTAAATTTACTCATGATTTTTACATCTACCTGCATTAAGTAATCCTTGTATTGATGAGATGAACTCTGGTCAGTTATGGTTTTGCTCAATTTTGTAGCAGTTTTCTTTTCAACAAACTGCTGAATTTGATAAGCTAATTAAATGTAGAACACTTTTATTATATTTATAAAATTGTATATAATTTTCTTTTTTGTGCCTTGTTGATCTTTAAGTTGGGTAAATTTCACGGAATTGTAAAATTTGAAGTTCTAAAGGAGCTAAGGTATCATCATTTGCTGCAACTTATTATTCTATAGACAAGGAAATCAAGACCAGAAAGGTAAAGTCACTTGCCAAAGGTTACAGATCTCTGGCCAAGCAAGGTCCAGCATCCCCAGGCCTTTATTTCAGTGAATAACAGATTTCTGTGAACATTTATGCAAAAGCAAGAAATACTCTGCATAGGAGCAAAATGAATTGAATTTAGGAAAAAAACATTTGGATGATTACAATTAATCACTATCAATACGACCACTTAATTTTTAAGGTGAAAAAAGTACTATATTGTAGCCATACCTGTGATTTTAATATTACAAGGAATGCCAAAGGGAGCCTCTCCTACAGTTCCAGAAGTCCCACCCCATCTGCATGCACACCCTAAGTCAAGTTTCTGTTGCATGAACTAAAAACAAAACAAACAAAAATGGTGGCTTTAGCACCTACTTACTTGCTGTCTGTTGAGAGATTAAAAAAATCAAATTCACATGTATATGACAGAGAAAATGTCTTTATTTATTCAAGGGCCTTTCTATTTATCTTCCCACCCCTCTGTTAAAGGTTACTTTGCCTTTCTGCATTGGTACAGTTTTGTAGAGCTGAAATCTACACTAGAGCCTTACGTTAAAAACATGTCATTAAAAAAAAAAAGTCATACCTCCATCCAAATCTCAAATTAATCTGAATATGGCAAATCTGAATTTTCTCTACCTGCTTGGTGATGGCTTGGAAGCTATAAAGTCTGACCAGTCCCGAGCTGTACATCACAATCAGTATTCCATGAGACAAGGTGGCATCTGTGACATTCCCGAAAATCTGAGGGGAAAGGTAGACATCACCTGAGAAAAGACCAGAAGGCCAATCCTCTGAGTTTTCACTGAGGTATGTGTATCTGTTTAATATTCGGTTTACCACTACAACACTGCTGCCTAACATTCCAACTTCATTATAATTTAGGAACTTGCAGCTAAGGTATTATTAGGGATGAGTGGTAACCCCGTAGGGTCTCAAACTGAAGTACTAATGGGCATTTAATATATATCCTTCAAAATGATGCCGTAGCTTTCATTTATTTCAGTTTTGTCAAAATCTTTTAATAACAAACCCCTTTCCTTATGGACGTAGGTGTAAACTGAGCCTATTTAATTCTACCATGCAATATTTGCATGGTTGAATAAATTCTGGGACCTATTCTTTATAAAATATTATTTATAAAGGGATCTTTCTTAGCTAGTGGTGAAAGATTTGGGTCTAAGAAAGTAATTCTAATAAAAAACAGCCAACTCAAGAATTTTATCATTACCTTGTTCTTTGAACATTTAATACTATTTGATTTTTTAGCCATATGAAAACCAAACATGTTAAAGACCAAATACATACAGAGACAGTTAACCTAGCTGATCTTGAGTAAGGCTTTGGCTCCTTGCTCCCTCTCTGTCTCTGTTCCGTGCACTGGATCCTGTTACGATGTCCACAGAGCTCTGATAAAGAACTCGATCTGTGTCTCTTTTAATATTTAACAAAAGCCAACCAACATAGACAAATATTCATAGCAAGGAAAGAACAAGTAGAAATTAAGTGAAAATCTGTTTCTGTTTCTACTCACGATAAATCACTTAGTAATCACTTAGTTTACTACCCCAGGAAAGAGATTAAAGTACATTCTGAACCTGGCCCCTGGGTAGTCTTATTATGCATGGTGAGTGAAAGATGTACTTTCATTTCAAATAACCACAATAAAAATCAAATCCCTCAGATGATTATCTTGAACATGTAAGAATAAATAGAAACAATTTATGACTACATTCCTGTTGTAGACTGTAATAAGTATATACAATTAATCCACAAGCACAAAGAGAACAATTATATTCACGAGTTGTGTTTTTTGTCATCTCTTAAAAGGATAATTACGGTTTGCTTTGTTTTTGACTAGCCCAGGACTTTCTATTCCCTGATCCTTGTCCCCTACTTTGTAAAGAAGGATTTGTGCAATTCAAATGTATTTTCAAATAATGAATGCTAAAATAAAGTAGCCACTGTATTTTAAAATTTGGTTTAATCGCTGGAGTCAAATATAAGTTCAACTTCCAGTTTCTCCATTTACTGCCTTTAGGATTTGGGCAGCTGCTTTTAACTTCCTAATTAAAAACTTTACCAAATACCTAATAAACAATTAAACAATAATATTACATCTTAATGTCAAAGAATTAATAATATAATTAAATCAGAAATGAGTTCTTACCTTTTTGTTGATCTCCAGAATCCCTATGAGTGAAAAAGGTAGCACATGGAACACTGCAAGGTACAGCAAAACAGGCTGCTGAATGCCTGCCTAAAAGGAAAGACTAAAATCACAGACAGCTCTCAAGAATATATTAAAACCACTGTTTTCCTAGTGGTTACCAGTGGGTAAAGGGAACGGGCAAGGGATAATACAAGAATTAGGGCATTAAGAGGTACAAACTACTGTGTCTAAAACAAGCTACAAGGATATACTGTACAACACAGGGAATAACCCAGTATTTTATAATAGCTATAGATGGAATATGGGCTCCCCAGGTGGCGCTAGGGGTAAAGAATCTGCCTGCTAATGCAGGAGACATAAGAGACATGGGTTCAATTCCTGGGTGGGGAAGATCCCCTGCAAGAGGAAATGGCAACCCACTCCAGTATTCTTGCCAGGAGAATCCCATAGACAGAGGCCCCTGTGGGGCTAAACAGTCTATGGGATCACAAACAGACACAACTGAGTGTATGAGCACATAAATGGAATGTAACCTTGAAAAATCATGAATCATTATATTGTACACCTATAATACTGTACAACAACTATACTTTGATGAAAATTTTTTATAAAAAATTTTTAATTAAAAAAATAAAAACACTCTGTTTTCATGAATTGAAAACCACCTTCTATCAAACTGAAAAGTTACTTAAACAGGAAAGCCTACATGTTCAAAATATGTCCACTAAACCTTTAGCTCTTCAGAGACTACAAAATACACACACACACACACAAATCTATTAAAGCAAGCATACCTGTAACATTTAACAACACAATATATTTTGTAAAAAAACATAATTTATATACTATATAACAAAATGTAGGTATGTACTATGTAATAGATCATGTTATAATATAAATTAATATATTGGATTATAATATAACACAATTTAATTTACATCATAAACTGGAATTCTAATCATCAAGAGCCTAATCAAAAGACACAGCATTATCATGGTCATATCACTTAGGATTACACTAACATGGCTAAATGAAATAGAAAAAATATCAACAGTTAAAACTTGAGTGATTTCTCTGCTTGAAGAAGGTAGCTTCTTCACTTTGTAGAATAAGGTTTAGTGAATATTTTTCTGCTATGGAATGGAAAGTAATCTGTTGTACTTCCCCAGAGTGGCTTGCAGAGAATATTTTAAATTTGTGGTAAACAATTTTGATAGCATGCTTCAGAAACCAAAGATTATTAGTTCTCTCATAACAAATTTTCAGACAAATTCCTCTGGAAACAAATTCTTTATTTTATTGAATTTTTAAAGGTGTCTACCTGCCGGGCCAGTGTTGAACCTTTGTTCTGAGCGGACTTGACAGCAATGACTTCCTGAGGAGTGTCCCAGCTCAAGTATCTTTTAAAAGAATAAAGAGAAGTTTACTCATTTGGGTCAGTTTCCTTATACTTCAAATCAAAATATAATAGATATTTTATAAGTGAACAGTTTTTCAGTTATTTAAATTATAAAAGTAATTTATTTTAAAAAATAAAAGAATTCCTTGAAGATCCTCATATATTCCTCATTTATTCCTATTTATATATACAAATAATTTTAATCCTTCTGGAGTCTCAATGAATAAAAATTGTGCTTGATCTGTCAATATTCAAAACTTAGAAAACCAAAACCATTCCTGATGTAAAACAGAAGCTACAAAAAACCTTAAGAATGTTACACTCACATTTTGCATGTTTATATTCATTCCAAAAAATTACATCTAGTTTATAAAACTATGAGTTTATAAGTAACAGTTCTTAGATTATACTAGGCTGGTAATTTAACTGCAACAGACTAGCTTTCAGAAAAATCTACCAAAAAATACATCCCACATAAAAAATACTATTTGTAAAAAGTAAATTGTTTTAAAAAAGGGTATCTGACAACTACTAGAGGTTAGTTACCTATGAGGAATACAAAGATAAATGACAAAGGGTCTCCATCCTTAGATTTTCAAAAGCAGTCATGAGGAGAAATAAACAGATTTATAAACTGAGATCCACATATACAATGGAAAACTTAAAAAAACAAAATCTTGAAATATCCTAGGTCATAAGTCTCAATTTTTCATAATCAAATTTTAAACAATAGAGTTACAGTTAATACCTGAATTTGCAATATGAAGCAAGATATATTTTCTCAAGGACTTTTCCCGTAGTTGCTGATATACGAAGTAGCCAATTATGAGCAGTCAGTGCTATGAGTGAGGATTTATAATCTGATGGATTGGGAAGCATTTCTCCCTTAAAAGAGATAAAACTGAAACTGCTTGATCATGAACAATCTATAGTAATCCATATCCAAAGAAAACAGCTAAACAAATAGTCAAACAAGTAAATTTTAAAAAGAAATGTAAATGCAAAAATAAATGAGGAAAGATTAAAATTGTGAAAAATGATTTTCATTATTAATTTATTAAGTCATCTTATTCACATAGAGTATTTAAACAGTACCTGAAATAATTATTTTTCATTTAGTCACCAAAATTGTGCCTCTTTTGCGACCCCATGGACTGTAGCCTGCCAGGCTCCTCTTTCCATGGGATTTTCCAGGCAAGAATACTGGATAGGTTGCCATTTCCTCTCCAGAAATAATTATTATTTATTAATTGTTAATCATTAAGTATTCAACAAATGTTAGTCAATCATCATCATAATAACAACAGTAATACAAGTAATACTAATGATGCTGCTATGACAACAGTTCTTAAAACAAAGTATAACATTAGATAGCATAAGCAATTAAGAGTCATTTCCTAGAACAGATGTTTCTTCATTCCAAGACTTGTTTTCTTACTGATAGAAGTTCAAATGGGAAAAAAGCAAGTTATCCCACTAGTCACTGTGGCTCTACTCCAACTCCAAATGGAAAGCTAACATTCAGAATCAAAGCAGCCAAAGAAGAACAGAGATGGACCTAGTTTTAAAAATAATCCCTGACTCCAATGAACTACCCCCCAAAAGGGCACATCTGCCACTGAGGAGCCGCCTTAGGGTGGAAGTCTAAGGCAGGAAGAGAAAGAGAAGCCAAGGGTTCTACTTTGATTTGTAGAATAAAAAGTAAGTTCAAAGATGAAAGTTAAGAATAGAGAAGTTAAAACTAATCTAATGTTGCTTAAGCTGAAAAGTGAATAGAAAAGAATGCAGGCACATTTATTTTACTTACATGCCTTAAGATTTGTCTCCTTTTTCAAATGTTAGGGAAAGAAACAAGGTTTTTGTGTGCATTTGTTTCTTGGTTGTGTGTGTGTTTAAACTTATTAGCTACTTAAGTCTTACACTAAAATCATAGGCAATGATGTAAATTTTTTTATTCTTTGATGCCTTGCATAAGTATTAGCTCAAGGAATTTTTAAAGTTTTAAAAAATGTATCACCTATATCTTGCCTATTAAAAAAAAAAATTAGGTAGCAAACCTATAGGTCTGAGCTATTTTCCTAAACTACAAGTTGTATTTCACACACTGTCTCAGAAGAGCAGGGTGCTAGTTTAAATTTAGTTTCATAATCAGTATATTAACAACAATACTATATGCTTTGTTGTTTTTCTCAATGGAAAATCTTGGTTCACTTCAAAGAAGAACAAAACGTTCAAAGAGAAGTGAGATTAGGAATTAGGTTACTAGAAACTTTATTTTTGTAAAGATTGCTCTAAATTTGTGTTGCTTCGCATTGATGTCTTTCAAAATTTTTCTCAATTAAGAAATCTGTCATCCTCTTCCCCTCATCAATGAAGTGGATTAGAACATTTTAGATGTTGGGGGCACAATAGTTATTTTTAACTTTCAATAAGGAGTTGGGGAAGAAAATGTAGATTTAAAGCTTCTTATTTTTAAAAAGGAAAATTTCAATGAAAAGACATTAACTGTCCAGGGAAAAACTACAATTTTATGTACAAACAAATCTTTTTTTTTTCCTTTTAAAGAATTTTAATAATAAATGCAAAGCATGGTCTATTAACTTTAAACATTATTTTTGGTCATATATTCTATTTTTCCTAAAAAACAAAACAGCCAGATTGAAAGACTGGATTAACTTGCTGCAGTACTCCTTAAATGTTTCTTACAACACTGATCCCATGGAAAATTAATATTTAGAAATATAACTCAAAATAGGAAGTTCTATGATCAAAAGAGTTGGGAAAATGGTTTGACGATAACCATGCACATTAGTATTATTATAAGTATTAATAGTATTAAAGGCTCTGTGAAGTAATTCTACAAATAAATTTGCTTCCCAACTCCTCTAGCAAGGATAAGATGTTATATCTTATGAAAAAAGTGTTCTGAAAAATACACACAGGAGCAATACAGATCTGATGGAATGAGCTCATCTATTATTTTATTTTTCATTTTTATCTTATTATTTCCTAAGAAGATTAATAGAGGAAACCCATAAGAATCCACTTTCAGAGTCATGAAACATAACTGCTACCCTAAATATCTTATTGTCTCAATATATTAAGTAGAATAATCTCTTAAACACTGAGAATAACTACAAATTAGCATATATTGCTTATGAAACCTTTAATCAGTGCATAACACTTTCTAGTTTTCAAGATTTAAAAATGGTATTAAAAGTTAAAAATATATTCATAGCATTAACATATAATTTTTTAAGACAGAAGTTACTTCATGAGGAAAAATAAAAATAAAAAATATGCTCTTTTTTTGCTTCCTTTCAAGGTTTAAGAATCACTATGATACTTAAATGTTTTATTTCTTTATACAATATATTAACAATAAGCAGTTCTAGACTACAAATGCTTTAGAAACATACTACAAAAGCAAATCTTACCACTGGGCATTCCCATAATAAAGCATCTTCTATTTTTTCTGATTTGGAACATTTTGGCATTTCATAAAGTTTTCGTGGCTCTGATGCAACACTGGGGGGAAAAAAAGATTATTCCTCTTCATAAAGAAGATAGCCTTTGCTTGGATTTCAGCGATTTTGTTAATTCAGAGATTTGGAACACCAAAAATACAACTTGCTGCTTTGCTTTCCTCTTCTTAACTAAATGTCAACATTATTTTTTAATCACAAAATTCATAATACACATTCATAGAAAAAATATCAAATATGTAATAAATTATAATAGCACAAAACTTCCAATATTGATATTTTGGTTCAGTTATTAGTATTTTGGCTCATTTCACTCTACTTTTTCTTTATATACTTATACCCACCTGCAGATCATTTTCCAAAATTAGAGCATATTGAATTGCTTCCTTACCTTTTAACATTTACTACCAATAACTCTGTTGAATTCCACCTTCATAATCTGTTATTCCAACATTGTGAAATGAAAATTAGTTAAAGAGATCCTTTCTTTCAGCTAGTAGTAGAAAACTAGTTGATGAAAAAGATAAAAAAGGAAACTTTCCAAACCAGAAAGAAAAAAGAATTAAAAAAAAAAAGAATAGAACATCTAAGGATTGTGGGATAATTAGAAAATGTGTAATGTACACATAATGAGAATACCAAAAGAAGAAGAAAGAGAACAAAACAAATGTGGGAGGTATCAAACCAATTATATCAATGATCACTTTAAATGTGAATGGTCTAAAATATACCTGTCAGAAGACAAATTGATAGAGTGAATAAAAAACAAGACTTGAATATATGTTATATACAAGTAACCCACTTTAAATATAAAGACACAGATACATTAAAAGCAAAGGGATGGAGAAAGATATACCAAGTAAATACTAACTTAAGAAAAAAAAAAGCAAGCTGGAGTAGCCATATTAATTTCAGACAAAGTAGACTTCCACACTGGAAATTATCAGGGATAAAGAGTAGAATTATATGATGTGAATGCATCTAACAACAGAATGTCAAAATATTGAGACAAAAATGATAGAATACAAGGAGAAACAGACAAATCCACCATTATAGTTAGAGACTTCAAAACAACCTGTCAGTATCTGACAGATCCAACAAGTAGAGTCGGTAAGAATATAGTTGAACTGACCAGTACCGACAATCAGCTGGCTCAAACTGACATCTTCAGACTACTTCAGCAACAATACATTCTTCTCAAGCCCATGTGAAGAGTTCACCATGACAGACTACACTCTGGGTCATAAAATACTAGAATTTAAAAGACTAGAAAAAAATATAAAATATGGTCTCAGACCACAATGGATTTAGGTTAGATACCAATAACAGATAGCTGCAAAAATCTCAAAATATTTAGAGCTTAAATGACACAATTCTAATTGACACAGGGGTCTGGCTTAGTGGTAAAGAATCCACCTGCCAATGAAGGAGGCGCAGGTTTGATCCCTGGGTAGGGAAGATCCCCTGGAGCAGGAAATGGCAACCCACTCCAGTATTCTTGCACAGTCGGGCAGGGCTGAGCAGACAGCACAACTGATGGACTGAGCACGCACAAAGGAAAAAGCAGAAAAATGTCTCCAGAAATTTTACATCGAATATACAATGTTTCAACATTTGTCAGATGCAGGAAAAACAGTGCTTAGAGGGAAATGTATGGCATTTAATATATACTTTAGAAAAGGAGAAATGCTTCTGGGCTGGTGAACACATGAAGATTCAGGAAGAGTGACATGCTCAGAGGGCATAGAATTTCTGTGCTCCTTCCCACATACCTTGCCCTATGCATCTCTTCCATCTGGCTGTTCCTGTGTTATAAAGTTTTATAATAAACTGGTAATCTACTAAGAAGCCAGTCACCAAAAAAAAGACACACACACACACAAATCAAGTATTACATCATTCAATTTTTTTGAAATGTCCACAATGGTTGAACCTATAGAAACAAAGTAGCCTAGCACGCGCATAGGGCTGAGGGTGGTGAAGGTTATGGTGGTAACAGCTAAAGGGTAGTGTTTTGGGGTTTTGTGAGGTAATGAAGATGTTCTAAAATTAACTGTAGTGATGGTTGCCTATATGAACCATCAGTTCAGTCCAGTTCAGTTCAGTCGCTCAGTCTTGTCCGATTCTTTGCGACCCCGTGAATCACAGCACACCAGGCCTCCCTGTCCATCACCAACTCCTGGAGTCTACCCAAACCCATGTCCATCGAGTCAGTGATGCCATCCAGCCATCTCATCCTCTGTCATCCCCTTCTCCTCCTGCCCCCAATCCCTCTCAGCATCAGGGTCTTTTCCAAACCATCAATGGTTCATCAAATCATTTTCNATCAATGATTCATCAAATCATTTTCACTGAATATGAATTTCAAGGATGTAAAAACTGAATTGTATGCTTTAAATAGGTGAATTATTAAGCTGTTAAAAAAGAAAATAACCGTACTTTTTTTTAGAGGAGCAAACTTAAGTACAGCATGTTTGGAATATGCTTTAAAACATTTAGCAAAGGTATAAAGGAAAAGGAGATGGGGACAGATAAGCAAATGTGGCAAAATCTTGATCCGTTTAGGGTCTAGATAATGAATATATGGGGGTTCACTGTACTATTTATATATGTACTATATATATATTACATGAGCAAGTCTGAAAATTTTCTTTTAAAACAAAGGCAAGTACTTTCAAAACAAAATACAGAAATTCTTCTCTAAAACAGCATCTAATTAGTAGGTACTTGGATTTTCTGACATCTGGTATCCCTTAGGAAGAATAAAATACTACACTGTACTCAGCAATCTGTCATTTTGCCTGCATTATAAATTCTCTTTAAATTGGTATTTACACAGATGAAACCTCAGCCTTTAGGTTTAACAAGATGCTAAAACATGCTTTTTATACCCTACCCTTATTTGAACCCATTTTTCCATTCTGTTACACTAAGCACTAATGTAGGCATGTGTTTCTATAAAAATTAAAGATCAACAGTCAAATGAATTACATAAAAAATTTTCACCAAGATACCTGCTGACACAGCACCGATAATTGTTAAAATATATTCTTCCTCTCTCATAGGCTATAGGTGATTTGGAATGAGTTGTCCAAACATTCTTAAATTTAGTACTTTCCTGAAAAACACAAGGAATTTCGGTTTAGGAAATAACTCATAAGTTTCTGTGCACCAACCTTAAATTGGATATTTAAATTTACAGTTTTCAAAGTAATTTCAAGTACGTTCTTAAAAAATAGTATGTTCAATTCTTCCTAACTCTGCCCTCACATTTTGGCTTAAGTGGGGCAATTAATTTTTAGAAAAATTGTTTGCAAGATATAAGAAAGTCTAAAAGCATGTGACGGTTCTGCTAACGGCTATTTACTAATCCCCCAGTTTCAAGGCCGCGATCGCCCTGCCCATCACTTGCTATCTTCTTAAAAGGGAACTATACTGCGTAAAAACTGTACCCCAGCAGTAAGCCTGACTCTCCCCTGAGCCCCCCACCCCCGTCCCACCAGTGTCTGCAGAGGAAGCCTGGCTTGTACCCAGAACTACAATCCCCATCAGGCAAGGGGGCCAGGCCCCGCCTCCAACCCGCCGCGGCCCCGCCTCCAGCCCGCCTTACCCCGCCTCACCCCGCCTCACCCCGCCTCACCCCGCCTCACCCCGCCTCTTCTGTCCGGGCGGAGGCTGCGCCGTAGCGTTGGCGTGGGTTTCCGGCTCTTTTCGCGACGCCTGGGGAGGATTGTGGGGGCGCTGTGCTGCCACCTCTTGGTCTCTGTTCCGTGTTCCCTCCGTGCACTCAGGGGTCCGTCCCTGTACCCCCACGCTTCTCAGTCCCCGATTTTCACTCTGGGAGCCCTGGCTGGGTGCCGAGAGTGGGGCTGGGTCGTGTGCGACAGCCCCTCCACCCCCCCACAAGGCAGCGTCCTGTGAAAAAGAAAGGTACGCCCTCGGCTTTCCCCTCAGTCATAACGTTGGATGTTGTGGACGGTTAAACATTTTGGGTCTTTGAACACGATGCTTTGTAATTATGAGTTAGTGGTGAAAATGCTGGCACTACCAGAGTTGAATTACTCTTTTCTAGAGGCCCGCCCCTCCGTGGCCCGTGGACACTCAGGCTGGCTTTGCGATAATTGCTGCACCTTCCTTCCTTCTCTCCTTTTCCCCCCTCCTCTTTATTGGGGAATGAAACATGAAATATTTACATTGTTGTTAGACTGCCTAAGATGTTCCACGTTGATTCCTCTAAGATAACTTTGTGAGTGGCCCTCCCGGTCGGGTCAAGTTTCCTATCATATCCTCAGGGGCGGTGTCACTGAGGCTGTGCCATTCTCACCACACTAAGTTTTCAGTAAGCATGTCCCAGACGAGACCCATTGCTTTGCCTGTAAGTCCCTTGAGCGTGGTGCCTTTGCGGCTCCCACGTGGCCTCCTGTTCAGACTTGGGCTAGGGTGTGATTGCATCGGACTGACAGGGCAAAAAGTATAGTACTGTGTGAATGCGCTGTTTTTAAGCGTTTAGGATAAAACTTTTTAACCCTGCTGAATTTCCTTTGGGGCCTGGGCTTTTGCTGATTTTTCATGACTTATTTACAGCATACTGTGGAGTGCTTTGTATATTTTTAGAGCGCGCTATAATAGTTAATTTGGTAATTCATGAATGCAGCTGTCACTGGGAAAACAGACCCAGAAAAGATAACTGGATTTTCTTTGGCTGAAATGAAATTCAAATCATTGCTGAATTGAATTCATCTTTTTTTTCTCCTTTCCCTTCACCCCCATTTGCTTGTCTTTCAGTGGTCTCACAACCAAGCCACCCAAGGGACAGTCGTCCTAGCTGCCTTCTTTTCCATCGCCTTCAACCAAGTACTTTTGATTCTGTTATCTATCCCCTCTTCATATCCCCCCCACCAAGTAATTTAGGGCCTCACCATTTTTTCATATTATTATGTTAAGTAGCCTTCTCTCTGCCTGCCTTAAATACTTTCAATTCCAACCCTCCACACTGCTGCCAGAGTGATTTTTCTAAAGCACAAATCTGTCATTTCCCTATTAAATCTTTCAGTAGCTTCCAGTCACCCAGAGCAGAATTTCTCAAACCTAAGTAGATACCCAGGATTTTCTATGGTGAACTTAAAATATGTTCAGTACCTTAGATATATGCAAATATAAAACCGTATATAAACTCCTTATGTTGTATCTTTTGAACAACTATAATGCTCAAACAGTTGTACATTAAATGAAGCAAAACTATGAAACAGTGCTTATTCATTGATACTGGTGAGACTGTTTGCCGGACCTGTCATGCTTCACTGGTCTGGGGGCATAAATTCCTTACAGAAAGACCTACCCTTACTGCCCTTTGCTAAGAGGTTACCCAGTGACTTCACCTCTTTTCTTTATTTAAACCACTGTAAAAACCTTCCTTTGTTCCTTGTGTCAAGATTTCATTTGACCTTCACTTGACAAACATCACTTACATAAAATAGTCTCCATGTCTCTCATTAACCTGTGCCAATGACAAATAGTCCCACTTGTTAGCCAGTGCAGTGCTAAACACAAACGTGATTTGAAATCTTCTGACAGTAATCAATCAAAGGGATGATCCAGAGTATCCTTTCGTTCAAAAAAAATTTGTTTAGATTTTTATCAAATTGAAAAAATAAAAAGTATCCCTAGGGAAATATCATCTTGAGACTACCTGTACCAATCCCTCAAGGTCTGTATAGGTGCTTTATAGGACAAAGTCTGTAAGTCTCAGTGCAGTATACAGGGCACTCTGTTATCTGCATCTTGCCCACATTTTCAGCCTCAGCTTTGCCCATCCTTCACATTTGCTCCTGTGGTTCTGACATGTTTCCTCCTTGCTCAAGCCAGGGTCCCTTTACATTTAAATTTTTCTTTATCTGGAGCTCCCTTCCTCTCCTCTTACCATTTATCTCAAGACACATGTCAGGTATCTCAGCTCCTCTCAGACACTTTTCCTGACCCTTCCATCTTAGTGGCCTCTTCTCTCATGTTTCTTTGCATTCACTGGCTGTGGCACTATATTAGAATTGTTTNAGAAGGGGACAACAGAGGATGAGATGGTTGGATGGCATCACCGACTCGATGGACATGGGTTTGGGTAGACTATGGGAGTTGGTGATGGACAGGGAGGCCTGGCATGCTGCGGTTCATGGGGTCGCAAAGAGTCGGATACGACCGAGCGACTTAACTGAACTGAAGTAATTTTAACATAGAATTATATTTATTCTTTATTCTTTAAATGTAGGAAACCACAATATTAATAAGAAAAAATGTTGTTTTATTCGCTGAATTGTGTCTGCCTCTTTTGCAACTCCATGGACTAGCCCAGCAGCCTCCGCTGTCTATGGGATTTCCCAGGCAAGAATACTGGAATAGGTTGCCATTTCCTTCTCCAAGGGATCTTCCTGACCCAGGGATTGAACCTGTGTCCCCTGCATTGCAGACGGATTCTTTACACTGAGCCAACAGGGAGACCCAGCCAATAAGAAGAAATAATTAAAAAAAAAACTTTTATCCCTAACAGTTCTCCCTATAAAGTGGATATTTTCTTGTTGAAGGTAAAATGGCATAAACCCCTAGCTTAAGATTAGGAAATGACTTCTCTTAATTTGGGGCATAGAACAAACATTAATTCTTCTTTTTTTATTCTGTGTCTATATGATGCTTTGAGAATACTTAACCATCCTTGCCATGATACTTTCAAGATGAAGAAGAGGCGATAAGAGTTCAGAAGTTAATAAAATGCTTTTTGTTCATATATTTTGTTTAAAGAGGGATAACAGAATAAATATATAAAGCACTCTGGTTATTAAACCTAAACATTTGCTCAGAGACAAAAAAATCTGAACCAAGGCCACAAGAGGTCATTCATTCAACATGTAATTATTTTCATCTACAATGTGCTGGGAACTATTTTGGCATAGGGTTTAACTGGTCAGAGAACAAGATGCTCACATGTCCAGGGAGATAGACAGTAAATAGATTTTAAAAATATTTTCAGGTAGTGATAAAGTACTGTGAAGAAGATAAAACAGGGGGGTGTCCTTGATAGTGAATGGTCGGGAGCCCTGCTGTACCCAGAATGGTCAGGAAAGGCCTCTCTGCAGAGCGGAGTTTTGAACTGAGCCTGAAGTGAGGATGAGGCAATCTGCACAGAGCTAAAGTTAGAGTAGTTGAGGCAGAGGGATGTTCCAAAGCGGGGTCCCCAGGGCAGTAACAACGTTGGATTATTCTAAAACCATCGTAAGGCTAGTATGCCTTGTCGGGAGTAAGGAGTTTTGGATTTTATTCTGTGGTGAAGGGAAGCCACAGCACGCTCTGAAGAAGGAAAGTAGCATGATCTAATTTGTTTTAGTAAGATCATTGTGGCTATAGTGTAGAGAATAGACTCCAGTGGCATGAGAATGGAAACAAGGAGATGGTGGCTGTTGCACTGGTCCAGATAAGAGATGGTAAATGAGCTAGAGTGGTAGGAGGAGAGATGGAAAGAAGGGCACAGATTCAGGATATATTTATATTAAAAGTAGAATTGACAGGACTTCTGATGATTTGAATATTAAAGGTATTAAATAAAAAATATTAAAGATATTAAATAAAAAGTCCAGTTCAATCACTCAGTCATGTCCGACTCTTTGCAACCGCGTGGACTGCAGCACGCCAGGCCTCCCTGTCCATCACCAACTCCCAGAGCTTGCTCAAACATCCATTGAGTTGGTGATGCCATCCAACCATCTCATTCTCTGTTGTCCCCTTCTCCCGCCTTCAGTATTTCCCAGCATCAAGGTCTTTTCCAGTGAGTCAGTTCTTCACATCAAGTGGCCAGAGTATTGGGAGTTTCAGCTTCAGCAAGCAGAACCACAAACATCCCATACTCCCAAGAAAAATGGAAGGCAGGGAAATACTTGATATGCTGTCAATGAAGGAAACAAAGATTTTATTAACTTAACACATTAGCATTATAGACATTAATGCTGGAGAATGTTAGGATCTGTTCTATGGCTGGGGCATGTGGGAAGAGAGGAATAAAATCAGGCCAGAAATAGACAGGGGTCAGAGCTTGTTGGTCCATGGCAACGTGATGGAAAAAAATCTCTGTAGAGTGATGTGATATTCCCTTTAGAGATAGTTGCGTACAGCATCAGGGCAAGAGTGAAGCAGACCAGTTAGCAAGTTAATTGTGTAGTTTGGGTGAGAGTGAGTCATTTTTGGAAATTTATTTTGAAATTAATTGAGGCTTTTAACTTTAAATTTGGTTTTTATTTTTCTCTGTATATTTTAATGATATGTAGCATCATTAAATGTACATTTAATGATGTACTACACTGTAGTACAAATATGTAGTATATTCATTCATATGCAAAATCCAGAAAGATTTAGGTTTTAAGGATCAGTAGTGAAGTTTGAAAGCTATTTATTTTAAAAAGTATTTTACTTATTAAAAAGAATATGTATAGCTAAGATGGCATAACATATAAATAATAAATAAAGTGAATACCCAGATAGCAATCATTAACCTTAATAAGACAGAACATTACCTAAAATTTTGACATCTATGTGCCAATCCCGCTTCTTGGATTCCTCTTTTCTCTTAATATAAATAAAACATTAAGGTTTGAATGTTTTTGGGCATCGTGTAAATTGAGTCATACTGCATATATGTACTCTTATACAGGTTGTCTTTTTTTTTTTTCTTCAACATTATACTTGACAAAGTACCTGTCAGTTAATTTCATTTATTTTTACCAATATATAGTAGTTCATTGTGTGAATTTTCTACAGTTTCTTTATCCATTTTCTATTGGCTGGGCTTTTGCTTCTTTTGGGCTTTTTATTCCTAGAAAAGTGCTGCTATAGACCTTAAACCTGTCTTTTGGTACACAAATTAAAGAAGGTGTTCATTTTCTATTGCTACAGTAAAGAATCCGCCTGCAATGTGGGAGACCTGGGTTTGCTTCCTGGGTTGGGAAGATCCCCTGGAGAAGGGAAAGGCTACCCACTCCAGTGTTCTGGCCTGGAGAATTCCATGGGACTGTATAGTCTGTGGGGTAACAAAGAGTCGTATATTACTGAGTGACTTTCACTAATGAAATTTTATAATATTTTTTTACTGGATTGCATAATTTGCAACTTTCTAAGTACAGTGTATTTTTGGTCAATATTGTAAATGGTATACTTTTAAGTTTAGGTTTTCTAACTATATTTTTGATAGTAATAAACATGCAGTTGTATATTGATCTTATATTTAGCAACATTGTTTTTGTATATTGATCTTTTGCTTGCCAATGTTTATCTTTAATAGCGAAAATTGTCATTTGTAAGGTTTGGGGGATTTTTCTACATAGCCGATCATGTCCTCTGGAAACTGTGACAGTTTTGTTACTTCCTTCTCGATTCTTTTACCTTCTTTCCTCGTTTCTTTCTTTTTTTTCTGCTGTGTTGGCCGGGACCTCCAGTGCAGTGTTGAATGGAACCAGTGATAGTGGGCTTCTGTGTCTTATCCACGTTTATAAATGGGATGCTTCTAATATTTCACCATGAAGGATGACATCAGAGGGTTTCAGTAGCTACCTTTTGTCAGGTTAATGAAATTCTCATCCATTCCATATTTGCTAAAAGTCTTGCTCATTTTATTTTTAAATATGAATGGGTATTGAATTTTGTCAAAAGCTTTCTCTGTAACTGCTGAGGTGATGATATAGTGTTTTCCTGTAGTCTGATAATGTGGTAATCACATAAATATATTTTCTAATGTCAAACCAAAGTTGGGTTTAGATAAGTTTTTGTGATGTATTTTGTTTTTTAAACACTGTGGGAGTTGGGCAACTACTGGCTTCATTGCTCTCTTGGCTCCTTGGACCTTTGCTGGCTCTGAGGGTTTCTCTTTCTATCTAGCTGGTTTACTGGTATATCTAATGTACTTGTCCAGCCTTTTAGGAATATTTAATAGCAGAAAGATTTTGGAGGTATCAGGTTCACCAAATTACCAGAACTAGAATTCCACTTCCTCATATTTTTAATGTAAAAAGCTTCCATTAATGTAAAATGTGATCACCTACCACCATTTCAGTCTTCCCTTCTTGTCTCTGTGCACAGTCATGCCCCTCCTTGCTGAAAACAAGGAAGCAGAATCGTATGGTAGAAAGAGCCTGACATAGAGGGTCAGATGGCACAAGTTGCAGCACCAGCAACATCAGTTGCTGACGTCTTGACCAGGCCACTTACTCTCTCTGAATATCCTTCAGTCATCTGCTAAGTGGAAACAGGATTGAAGTGAGAATCGCATAAATTTATAAACATGAACACACTGTTGTAGAGAGTTTATGGAGGAGAAGGTGTTGATTAAGTAGCACAGAGTGTTTTTCAGGGTGGAGATTTCGTGTGACACTGTGATGGTGCATCCATAACACCATGCATTTCTTTCTTCCAGTTGTGCCGCACATGGCTTGCAGGATCTCAGTTCCTCGATTAGGAACTGAACCTGTGCCCCCTGCCATGGGAGTGTGGCATCTGAACTAGTGGACAGCCAGGGAAGTCCCACACTATGCATTTAGTAAAACTCATATAGCTTAACAGTGGGCTTCCCTGGTAGTTCAGCAATAAAGAATACACCTGCCACTGCAGGAGATGCAGGTTCAATCCCTGGATTGGAAAGATCTCTTAGAGAGGGAAGTGGCTACCCACTCCAGTGTTCTTGCCTGGAGAATTCCACAAACAGAGGAGCCTGGCAGGCTACAGTCCATAGGATCACAAAAGAGTCGGACATGATGTAGCAATTAAACAGCAACAACAACATAGCCTTATAGCACAAGGAGTAGAATTTAATATATGCAAAATTTTAAAAACAAGAGGAAGAGGGGGTTCCAGGATATAATGCAGACTGAGACAAAAGAATCTAGCGGTATTACAAAAGTATGCAATGACCTCACTGAAAGGGGTCAGGGAAAGTTGCTGACCTAAGTGACGTTGAGGCTGCGAGACTAAAAGCAGTAGGAACTATGCATAAGTACTATCCTCTAGTCGATAAAAGTTTCCCACAGATATGGGTTAATAATTCTGAAACTACTTCACGTGTGTACTGGAACTGTATTAGCTGAACAATTAATAACTGCCTGGTGGATGATGGCAGCTAGACTTCTTACTGTTGGTGTGGGAGATTGTAGACAACCAAGAGTGGAAGGCTAGTATGATCAGGTGGTAATGGATTAGAGTTGGAGACATAAGTATAAACTCTACTTTAGTTTAACTGTAGATACAGATGGATATACATGGAAACATTTGTAGATAAAGATATTTGTATATGCATGGTGTAGTATACACACATATATTTCCTTGCTTTGTCAGTTGAGAGGGCCCAGAAGTGAGGACAACCTAATAGCAAAGAGCACACCCAATGCCCAGACCATTCTCTAATAAAAGTAACAAACACCCTTTAGAGAAATGACTGATTCTAGAACTGGGTCAAGGAATATACAGGAGTCTGCAACATTTTGTAATGCCAGAAAGTAAGGAAGTGCTCAAAAACACACTGATGAGAATGTGTCAAAAGGATATAGGAGGCAACTGAAAGAGGTTTTTCATGGCCACAGCAGGAAAGTTTGAACAGCAAAATCAAATAGTATTGGGTTATAACCCAAAGTTTAAAGTAAATATCTGTGAGTCCATACTGATATAAACAAGTGGTTGAATTAAATAAATGGGGAAGAAGAAACAAATCTGTGCAAAAAATTTCCAAATAACTTCTGTAGACACTCCACCCTTAAGAAGGTGGAGCATAACTCTCTCCTCCTTAAAGGTTGGCTGTGCATAGTAACTTCCTGCCTAAGAGTATGGTATGAAAAGTGGGGGACGTAACTCTACAGTAGAAACCTGTCAGTCACTAACTCACCCCTTTATCAAGGTTAACATCAGCAGTGGTAAGTCATGTTCATATCATGTACCCTTGATATGATGTGATAAGAATGACATTTTTTCCTCCCTAAAGCCTGTCACCTCAGTCTAATCCTGAGGAAAAACATCTGATGACGTTTTTCTAAAGATAACTGGGAGGCATTCTAAAGATAACTGATCAATACTTCTCAAAACCATCAAGGTCTTCAAAAACAAAGTGTGAGAAACTTTTAGAGCCAAAGAGGAGCCTAAGAAGACCTGATGACGAAGTGTCGTGTGGTGTCGTGGATGGTAACCTGGAAGAGAAAAAGGATGTTAGGGTCAAATGAAGGAAATCTGAATAAGTTATGAACTTAAGTTCGTAATTATGTATTAATATTGACTTATTAATGGTAACAAATACACTATACTAATGTAAGATTTTAATAATAGGAGAAACTATGTCAACTATATGGGAATTCTTTGTACTATCTGCAACTTTTCTGTAAATCGAAAGCCGTTCTAAAATTGAAAGTTTACTTTAAAAATGCAGCACTGACTACCACTGAATGGAGGCCGCATTACCTTAGTGGTTAAGATGAGCTCAGGTACCAGTTTGCCTGGGTTCAGATCTCAGTCTCACTACTCATTAGCTATGAGAACCTGGTTACCCTAATTCACTAGAATTACTTAATCTCTATGTGCCTCAATTTACTTATCTGCTAGATTCTTCAGAGGACTGAATGAGTTAATGTATGTAAAGCACTTAGAGTAATGCCATACACATTCAGCACTATATAATTGTTTGAGTGTATTTATTAATATCATTACTTCTTTTCATTTTGGGGGATTTCTGATTATAGCTGAATTTCACTGACTATCCATCAGCATACTGAGTTTTAGCTTGGCATTCTGACGAACCAGTATTCATAGTTTTGTGTGTAAGGGGGAAATCATCAAGATGGTAAGATTCCTGATTAAAATATCCATTTCCCTTGTTAAACTGGTGTTCTTTACAAAGCACTACCTACAGCACAAACCCCTTAGATTTAGGCTTCAGCACCTAAAATTTTGGTGATATTTGAAGCAAAATGGAATGACTGTATTATCAAACGTGTTTTTAGGCCTTTTACTTCTCTACCTAGAATACATACGAACTCTTCAGAAAACCCATTGTAGATCAGCAGTTCAGGTAGAATAGAGTTTTGAATAGAACATAGAATTTGGAATCAGGAGACCAGCTTGGAGTGTGGGTTCTTGTAGCTGTGTGATCAGGGCAGCTCATTAATCCCTTTGAGCCTCTAGTCTCATCTGTAAAACAGTGATAACAGGAATGCGTCCTGCCTTCCTCCCTAGCGTATAGAATTGTTGTAAGGATTAGGTGTGAAAATGAATGTGAGAGCTTCTGTAAGTTTTAAAACCTGTACAAGTATTATTTGTTATAATAATCTCAGGTTTTCAACCAGAGTTCAACTCTCATGGAGCTTGATAGTAATATTAAGTGTTGGTGGTCATCTGTATACCTTTACTTACTTATTATGTAGTAAATTGAAATCATTTGATTTTGAAATGCTTTAGATGGTATATTTTCTCACAGGACTTTAGTTTTTGTGATGTTTTTCTTCGGCCTAACAAAGGAAGGCATTGTTTTAATCTGGAGTTGTCTCTTTAAGGTGGCAGTCTGAGGAAATGATTTCCAAACTTCACTGAAATTGCCTATATAGAGAACACAAAAGTGTGTCCCTATAATTTAGGAAGTTGTCTCCTCCAGATAGACCTTCTTGTCCTGATGTGGAGCTGACCAGTAGAGGGTGCACGAGCTTTCCCAGAGGCTAGGCTGGGCAGACCTGACTGAAGCCATCTGTGTGATGATTAACAAGTACTATAAATGAAAAGGTTCTAGCACATCAGAAACACAGTTACCAAATGGAAAGAGACAGCAGCCATAATGTCACACAGCAATGTGGGAAGTACCTGCCCTAGTTGGTGAATAGGAAGTTTCTGGATAATTGGAATTTGACATTCTAAGGTGGGTTATTTGTCTGATTGGCACCTCCTCCTGCTACTGTTTGTCATTTCAAAACTTCTTTCTCTTTCTAGGTTCTTTGCCTCACCCACTCAGCATCTGTAATTATCTGCCTCACCTGGTCTAAAAAGTTGGGGATTTTAAAAAGTAACCTTTCCCTGAACTTCTTTGACCCTAAGGTATTTGGGTCCTGAATCCAGTCAGCTATAGCATCCTGTTAGGGTCCCTCTAACCAAACTCTTACAGATTCCATGGCATCTTTTCCTCCATGGAAACGGGTGACCGTCAGAAAATTTGTTAACTTTTTAGTGTTACTTCACTGCCCGTATCATCTTTTCTCCTCTTCCTTCCCAAGCGTGGATAGTACATAGAACGTGTATACTTGAAAGTGAAAGTGAACGTTGCTCAGTTGTGTCCAACTTTTTGCAACCCCGTGGACTGTATAGTCCATGGAATTCTCCAGGCCAGAATAATGGAGTAGGTAGCCTTTCCCTTCTCCTGGGGATCTTCCCAACCCAGTGATCGAACCCAGGTCTCCTGCATTGCAGGCAGATTCTTTACCAACTGAGCTATGAGGGAAGGCCGTGTATATACGTAATGGTTTTAAAAATAATTTTTTATTCTGATTATAAAAGTACTTTGAGTTTTCTTGAAAAGAATATTTAGAGACATTAGGAAAATGTAAGGATATCCTTGAGCCTTTGAATCAGAGGAAACTCCTGTAAACTCTTCCAGACTTTTTCTGTGCATACATATGTGTATGTGTTGGTGTGTGTATATGTGTATACATATATATATATATATATACACACTGATTAATATATATATATTAATTTTTTAAAGAGGTTATACCATAGGTACTCTTTTGTACCTTTTTCAGTTCGTTTCAGTCGCTCAGTCGTGTCTGACTCTTTGTGACCCTATGAATCTTGTACCTTTTTAGCCCTACCTAATAAGTCATGGACTTCTTTCTATATCAACAAATTTAGGTTTTTACCAACATTTTAAGTAAGTACATAGTTGGTCCTCTAAAGATGAGTATTTGGATTGTTTGCAACTTTGCAGTATAATGCTGTGATAAATCCTTAATATATTCTTCTGATTATATTCTTAAGATATATTTCTAGAATTAGAGTGTCTATCAGATTTCTTATTTAAAAATGTTCATGTATTGCCACAGTTCCCTCAGGAAAGGTCTCTTGGTGTAGTCTCCCTGACAGTGTTTGAGGATGCTTTTTACTGCATACTACTGATCACAACATTTCACCTTTGCCAGAATGATAGTGAATAACCCATTGCACCATTTTTTAAAAATAGGTGAACTTTCCACTCTCCACATCACCCCAGAAAATTAAGGCAGTAGTTCTCAAGTTTTTTGGTCACAGGACCCCTTGACACTCTGAAAAATTATAGAGGACCTCCAAGAGCTTTTGTTTATGTGGATCATGGTTATCATTATTTACTGTATTAGAAATTAAACCCAAGAAAAAATGTAAATATTTAAGTCGTTTTAAAATAGCAATAATAAGCCTGTTGCATATTAGCATGAATACCCTTTTTATTAAAAGTACCTATTTTTTTCAAAAGAAAAAAATTAGAAGAGTAGCATGGTTTTATATTTTTGCAAATCTTAACGTATGGCTTAAAAGAAGATGATTAGATTCTTATATTTGCTTTTGCATTAAGTCTGTTATGTTGTTCTCGTTGATATATATGAAGGAAAGCTGATCTCACACAGATCTATAATTTTCTAGTTAAGAAAGGAGTGCTTGAATAGTCTATTCAGATAAGTGTGAAGAATCTCCCTTGATCCTATACTGATCGCAGTAAGTGGTAGTTTCTTAAATGTTAATTGCAATATAATATTTGAAATCATACCCGTGCATTTTTTAATACTGTTACATTAAAATCCGTGGTCTACCTTGCACTTTGAATCCTTTACCCGTGCATGTTTTTGTGACATCACATGTTGGCCATCTGGAAAATACTGGTTCACTGAGTTGTGCAGATCTTCCGAATGTTGACTCGTTTCATTATACAACATCAAAAATACTTTATTCTCATAAGAACAGTGTTTAAGTGTCAGTAAGCTCTTAAGCTCACAGTGGTGGACATAGGGTTTACAAAATTCTAATTTTTGCTTGAAAGTTTGAATTTTATCAGTGGCAACAAAATGCTGTGGATTGTTTTCTTGACAGGCTTACTTTGTTTCTGAGAAAATACATTTTTAAAGTAAAAATGGTGTTCCATGAAAACAGTCTTTATTGCTTCTTCAAGGATACGCTTAAGTAAAATTGGCCTTTTGGGTTTTTTTACTCAAATGTATGGTTGGTGAAGAAGGCATGACCTTCCCTAGAGTTTGGTGCTGTTCCCTTGATTCTGACCAAGGTACTAGTGGTTTTATCTACCATTGCCTATACACTGTTAGTGTAAATGTCACCACAGTAAAAAATGCAAATAACATGTTGATGGTATTATGAAAATATTTCTGACTTTTTGCAGACCCCCTTAAAAAGTGTCTTGGGAGCCACTAGGGATCTGAGGACCACACTCTGAGAACCTCTGGTCTAAGGTACTAGTCATAGGAACTCTTTCTCTTACCAGAGACTGATTTAGAAATAGTCTGTGAGCCAGTTCTGGCCAGTGAAATCTGAGAGCAAGTCTGTCGAAGAGCTTGTGAGAAGGTTTCTTCATTGCTAAAGAGACAAGAAGGAGATGGTCCTTTTCCTCCTGTGGATATTTCCATGCCAGTGTGATGCCTGGAACCACTGCAACTACTTTGTAATTGACAAAGCCAGCCAGCCTTAGAATGAAGGTGATGCTGTTTAGAGCAAGATGGAGAAATGACATGAACCTGGGTCCTTGATGATATTATAGAACTGAAGCCATAGCGAGAACTTGCCCAACCTCTGGACTTACGGTTAAGAGAGAGAATATTCTCTTATTATTTGAGCCAGTTTGAATAGTGTCTTCTGTTACTTGCAGTCAAAAGCATCCCTAGAAGGTATTAATATTTATGAGTGATGAACATTTTTAAGTCTCAAAAATTAACATTTTTAGTGGCCATTTGCATTTCTTTTGTGAATGCTTACTGATGGTATTAGCACATTTTCTACAGAGGTCATTTTTAATTATTTTCTAAACATTCTTTACATATTAATCATATTAACACATTGTAACATTTTGTATTTATATCCACTAATGTCTTGCATAGTATGTTATTCTTATAAGCAGTCAGTCTTTTTTCTTTTATACTTTATGTTGGCTTTGGTATCATGTTTAAAAGAGTCTTTTCTACCCTACTTTTTAGTAAGTGTTCACATATATTTTTTCTAGGTCTATTAAAAAGTATTTTTACATTGAAAACTTTAATTCATCTGGAATTGATTTTGGTATTAGATGGAGTAAGGATGTAACTTTATTTTTTCTAAACGTGTGGGTGTGTGTGTGTTAGTCACTCAGTTGTGTCTGACTCTTTGTGATCCCATGGACTGTAGCCCACCAGTCTCCTCTGTCCATGGGTCTTCCCAGGCTGGGATACTGGAAGTGGGTAGCCATTTGCTTCTCCAAAGGATCTTCCTGGTTCAATCCCTCAGTCTCCTGAATTGCAAGCAGATTCTTTACCATCTGAGTCACCAGGGAAGCCCAGGTAGCTCCTTTTCTTAATGCACTTCTTTGAATAGGCCAACCTTAACCTCTGATTTGAAAACTAGCTTTATTACAAATGGAATTCTTGTATATAGGGACCGACCGGGAAGCCTGGCGTTCTGCAGTCCATGGGGTCTGAGAGAGTCAGACATGACTTGGCAACTGAACCACAAATTCTGGCTCATTTTTGGACTTTCTGTTCTCTTCCACTGCTTTGACTGTGTATCCTGGCACTGTAGACATGGCCAGGCCATTTTGCTTTGTAGCGTTTTTTAGTGTCTGAAAGGACAAGGACTCCTCCCATCCTCCCTAACTCTACCCCACGACAGTCAACAACACTCATTTTCCCTCTAGTATTTTCCTGATTCTTCCTATATGTCTGTTCTTCCAGATGAACTTTAAACTATTTGTTCAGGTTCCCCAACCATTTTTGGAACTTTGATTGGAATTAGTGTAATTTTGACCAGAATTTACATTTTTCACAATATTGAGTATTCAATTCCAAAAACCCACTGTCTTCCTTTTAATTATCTTCCATGCCCCTCTGTAGAGTTGTATAGCTTTCTTCTTATCATTCCTGTACATTTCTGGATAAATTTATTCCTAGATATTTCATATTTTTTGTTATAATCAGAAGAAGGATCTTTCCCTCTGTATATTTTGTTTTGATTATCAATTAAAAAAAACCTTAAATCTAGCTCAATGTTTCCAGATAGTTTTGGCTTCTCAAAACAGAATAAACAGAAAGGATACTGTCATTTGTGGTAGTATAGTGTGGACTATGTGATTTATGAGGTATGACTGTTGAGGACTGTTTAAGGAAACAGAACATACCAGAAACTATACGTTAATGAATATGATCCTTCCAAGCTGGTTATGTTGTAAATCTATACATTTATGACAACAAGAACAATTTACTGTAAATACAACAAAGGATATATATTCTTGTAAGAAAAATTACCACCACTGAGAATATGAAAAAGAATTAATTAACTTGCTATGAGGATGTTATCTGAAATAATGTTTTCAAAGGTATTTTACTGTTATTGGAATAAATAGTAATCTCTTAACATGATTTATTTGAAAGGACAACCTTTATTTTGATGTGGAGTTGTAATTTTTAGTTAAGCGACATAACTTTGTAGATATGCCTTATGTTATCAGGTGTCAAAGAGGTGGTTGACAGATTTTATGTGTTTGCTGTTGTTGTTGTTGTAAAAGAATCATTTAATCAGATTGTTTTTCTGTATTAAATAAGATTCAGTTGCCCCAGGCATTATGGATTGGCAGTGTTTCAGCTGTTTGGGAAAATGGAATTTGGAATTTGCCTGTTTTCTAAGATCATTTAAAATAAA